GAGCCCGGCCCCTGCGCACACCCCCGACGGGTGAGGCCAGCCTTGCGACCACGCTGTGCTCAGTGCGCGTTCTGATCGCGCTTGCGATCTGTTCCCACTCCCGTGGGGCCACCTGGAATGAGTTTAGTCTGCAAGGAGCTTTGTGGAAACGTTGAACGACGCGAATTCCAAGTGGAATCGCGCCGCGTGCTTTGGGCGAAACCTTGAGGACCAGGTGGGACTTGGCTCTGGGGCTGGGGAGGGAACGTTAGATCGTTGGCTCCTGTCACCGACTGACTTCAAGCTGGAGCCCAGCGCTGAGTCGGGGAACCCCTGCCCCGCGGCACAGGGGCTCGCACTGCGCGCCGGGTGACGGCTGCAACGCTGACGTCAAGACTGAATCGCCCAGAAAAACAGGTTCCCGGGAGCGACCGCCAGCGTCTCCCGCCGCCTCCCTCACGCGGGCACTGCCTGGGCAGGACTTGTTACCAATGTCAACAAAAGGTCGCTGCGCCAACCCAATGCCAACAGGGGTCCTCAGGCTGAGGTGCGGTAAGAGAACTGTTTTTTTCAGGTCAAGTTTGCAAACCCAGGAGACAGACCCTGGAAGAAACCCGAGTGCACGCGTCTGAGACAAAAGGGAGGCTGGCTTTTATAAAGTTCCCTCCCTCGCCCCTGGTTGGTCCATTTTTATGCAAATGAGGAACACAATTTTGCAATCTGATTGGTCTAGATAGTACTGTCCCAATTGGTCGGTTATGGAGCTGCTCTGATTGGTCGGTAAGGATGCAAATGAGGAATAGCTGTACAGTTCCGATTGGACAGGGAAGGTCTCTCAGCCCATTGGTAGAAAGACGATCCCAGGAACTCCTTTATAAAGGTGGGCTCCGGGGGCAGGGGCGCCGTGCAGGAGGCTGGCAGCCTCGGTGGGGTGTTTCCTGAGACGCAGGCCGTGTGAGAAGCCTCTGTTGGCAGTGGCTGCTGGCCTCTGGTTATGAATTTGTGCCCAGTTAACCAGCAGGAGTCGTTCTTGGTAAATGGATTCCTTCTTGAGGCGCACACCAAGAACTTGGGCCTGTTGGAAATTACCTATAAACAGACAGGCAAAGGGGTTTACACAGGACCCTATTCAAGTCAGTCACATAGTTGTAATTAAATTCCTTATGTGACTTCATCTTTATGGATATTCAAATATGGTTTGCTTCATAATTTTAGTTTACACCTCAGAACTTGAGTAACAAATGCCGTTGCTTTTGCCATGGATGCCCTTTGCCCCCTTGTTCCCCTCAGGTAAATGCCTACACATCTTTCCAATGTGAGGACACAGTGGCAAGTCCACCCACTGTGGAGTTAGGGAGATAGGGGCTTTGTAACTCTAGCACCATCTCTTACTGCTAGTTGTGTGGCATTGAGCAGGTTACTTAACCTTTCTGATCCTTAATTTTCTCATCTATAAAAGGGACACAAATGACCGCCTCTGTAAGTTATTGTGGGAAGGAAATAAAACAGTGTATGGAGAGCCTGGGACATGGCAGGCATTCAGTTAGTGTCTAATGGAAGCTAGTATCACTCTGCTACCTCCTCTGAAGCCTTCTCTAAGCCAGCCCACACTGACATGGCAGGATGCAGCAGAATCTCATAGACCAGTACACCATTTCACATTTGTTCCAAGTGTCTATTTTCTCGTTTCTCTACGTGCTCTAATTGAAGATTGCAGAGGTACTCACAGATTGATGCCATATTTTCAACAATTCACATGGAGCATGAGGAATATTCTATAATATTAAACAATTCACATAATTCTTAAATGTGTAAATCTGTAGGTCTACGCATAACATACATGAAACACGATACTGATTCTAAGATATTGAACACTAGAATCACAACTTACTTTTTAATAAAAATATTTAATAAGATTTCATTACATATTCAGAATCAAGTAAAAAGCTTCAACTTAAAAAAATAAATAGCCCTGGCCGATGTGGCTTAGTTGGTTAGAGTGTTTTGCACCAAAATGTGGCAGGTCAATTCCTGGTCAGGGCACATACCCAGGTTACAGGTTCTATCCCAAGTTGGGGCATGTACAGAAGGCAACTGACGGATGTTTCTCTTTCTGTCTCTCCCTTCTCTCTAATATCAATAATAAATAAAGCATCTAATGAACCCCCCAAAATTCAACTTTATTCAAATACTTGAAATTTCATTTTTAAACATGTTGATTATAAATTAGATTTCTTCCCCTTAACTTTTGTAGATGATTTTGAAAATTTTTAAATAACTGTTGAAAACATAAAAAATAATGCTATTTATTTTGAAATTGAATTTATATTTTTATAATATATTTTAATTTTATGGTAATTGAATTTAGGTGATTGAATATCATCTTTTTTTTAAATTGATTTTAGAGGGGAGAGAGAAATATATATGTGAGAAAGAAACATCAATCGGTTGCCTCCCATATGCACCCCGACCAGGGATCAAACCCGCAACTTGGGTATGTGCCCTGACCCGGAACTGAACCCGCCACCTTTGGGTGTATGGGACAATGCTCCAACCAAGTCACACTGTCCAGGGCTGGATATCATCTTTGATATTTTGCCAATTTTCAGTCATACAAAAGCCATAACTATAGTATTCGTCAATGTAGGAGGGTCATACATAATTTAACAATTATTTAGCTTGATTTGTAGCTATTAAATATTTAGACATATGGCATATGGACTTTCATTTGTATTGTTTCCCAGGCCTCACAGATCCTATGGGTACCCCTGCCTGTAAGTGGTTAGTCAAAGGCCTAAGTGGAAATGCTGGATGGGTTCAAGATGTAAGAACACAAGGATTTTCTGTTTTAAAATAGGAGAAAAACAAGCTGCTACCAAAGCATCAGCTCACGAGCTTTATGTCCAAATGATAAAATTATCTAAAGCAGCAGATGACAAGCACTGCAGCCCAAACAGTATGTCTACGGCAAGATCCTCCATGCAGATTCAGCCTGAGCCCAAGGGAGAGGTGTCTTGTTTAGTGGGATTGGAATGCCTGGGTCTTCCCCCAGGAAAACCTAACCTGGGTACAGTCTCCTTTCCCTTGAAGGTTTCTCTATATCTCTTCAGGGCAGCCTCCCTGGCCCTACTGACTCAGCCTCACAGTCATCCATTTCTTATGCATTAATTGAGCACCTACTACACACGATGCACAATGCCTGGTGCTTGACACACAAATGCAGAACTAAACAGACATTATCCGTGCCTTCAAGGAACTTTAGAGACCAAGTTCCTCTCCTGCTGGAAGGAGGGAATACTTCGAGTTGATTGCAGGTCCCTGAAGAAAAAGGGAGTGAGGCACAATATTAGAATTTGCACAGAGCCCAATTTCACTAGTTCTATCACTATGCAAGTAGTTACGTAATGTTGGAGGACCATCATATGTGAATATCTTAGAATTAACTTTCTCCCCCTACCCCTTTCTTCTCAGGGTTGCTGATTCATTCTTCTAATCAATCTCTTATTCACTCTAAAAACACCTATTGAGTACTAGGTGCCAGGGAAGAAATATGCAGCTCCTGCTCTCACAGTGGACCACAGAGGGGGTCTAACTCGACACTCTTGCCACTTGCCCAGTGACAGACTGGTGGCTCGTTACCCAGTGCTAGGCTTGTGGTGGGCACAGGAAGGTTTGCTCAGCTGACCTCAGTCTGAGGCAGGGGTAGCACACCTATTTTGTTATCCCTGTAGGAACCTGGGCCCAGGGTTTTCTGTCCCTGCTCTAAGGTCAGGGGTATTTGCTTGGACTCCTCAGAGCATTTCCAACTTCTCCCCAGAAGCAGAAGGGTTTGCCTTTAATCCCCAGAAGTCAAGTTTTTGCCTGGGTCTGGGGCTGATGGGATTTGTTGTTCCTCCCCCCAGCTGCCTGAGACTTTGGCACCCTTCAAGAGAAGGGTCTGGGGGCAATGGGCAGGGTTTCATACCTATGACTCACCTCCTGCCTGCCTGCCTGAGCCCCTAACGGGCTTCCCTCTGTCCCACCCCAGCACCTTATGAGTGCCTGCTGTACACAGAAGGCGAACTTCTGTGTTTCAAGTCCCTTATTTGAGACTCTCAGCTATTCTAAACTGATGGGCTAGCCCACACTTAGCCTTTAAAAAAATCAGTTAAACTTTTAGCTGATTTTTTTCTTACCTACTTGTATAGTGGCCACCTGACTCACATTCTTTCTGAGACAAAGCAGTTTGTATGTCCCATCTCCCGTCGGAGAGCTCATCACTCTTCGGGGTTCAGCTTACTTTGCCTTGCAACCTCAGCTCTGATGCACCCGAAGAACGCTGTAATTCTGTAGCTTACCCCGACTTTTCTCCTTGTTAAATTAGGAGTGGCATTCTTCTGAGGCTTTCTACATTCTCTTCAGGAGCAGACCCTCTACTAACAGCGATTTGTTATTCCCTTAAATCAGTGTTATTTCCATTATTACACTTATAAAATTTGTAATTATTTTTACTTTGTCTCCTTCATTAGACTTTAACCCCATGAAGACATAAACTCTGTCTCTTCATCACTGCAGTCCCTTCTAGCACCATAAGGGACACACAGTACTCAAAACGCAATGAAATACCCCACACACAGAAAACGCTGGCAGGCTGTGACATCCAGAGTCCCGGGGGAAGAAGGGAGGGAGGAAGAAGAACCCAAAAGCTAACCTAGGAGTATATTCAGATTATCATTTATAACCCATCGGAGATTCTGGCCACGATGACCAAATTCAGAACATAAAGCACAAACAAGAAAGGTATACCAAACCACTCTTTATTTAAGCTTCAAGGAAAATGGAAGTAAATGAAATAGCAGAACAGATTCATAATTCCTTATTGTTTATTCTCCTCTTACAAAAAGACACTTGGGCAAATGAGTACAGAGCGGTCTATGTCTTATTTAGCGACAGGCAAATACAGGTTTTCTTGGTGTTCTCCGCAGGAATGAACTCATGAATTTTCAGAAGTACATTCTCCTATGCACCACCCACCTTCTACAAAAAAAGTCAGTTCTTTTAATTCCCTAAAGTGTTTAACAGTGGAGCAAAATAAGCAATCTAAGGCTGACTCAAGGACCAAGACATCTGAATCAGGTTTTAAAATATATATATATTATATTGCCCAGACTAATGAATATTATTACAGGTTTTTCATTTCTTATCATTTGTATGAATAAAGAAAGTCCATTATATTCAAATCGGCATGGCAAATAAAACAGAAAGCTAAGTACAATATGTATACTTTCCTGGCCTAAGAGAAAACATTAAATACAGGTATATTTAATACACAATGAACATGCCATGTCTTTTTGTAAAGTCAACAAAATCCTGATTTCTTATGTTACAGGTGATGCAATAGACAGTAAACAAATACCAAAACCATTTGAGACCAAACTTAGCTAATACAATTAGCTAAACAACAATACACACAACAGTGCACCAGAGTTCTAGCAATGAATGAATATCCAATTGTTCACTAAAACGTATCATCAAGCTAATACCTGAAGAGCTTTGCTAATACTTTATATTTTTATTTAATGATTTTTCTATCAAGTGGAAATATGTACAATAGTTATTTCAAAGCAGGAAAAAAGGGGGTGATATTTTCCCCCTGCCCTGTAAAAAATTCGTTTTAAAAATCCATTTCAAGTAATTCCTTCCTTGGTGCTTTATAACCACTTTCCATTGAGGAAGATCGTTAGAAAGGTAGAAAAGCATGTACAGTGCTTAACAGGTCATCATCAAAATAACCAAGTGGACTATGAATTTACTTTTGAGTACTTTCTGGACTACCCAGGTCTTAAATACTAATTACATTTTACTAGATTCCCTGTAATGCTAACAACATGAATCTTAAAATCGAACAGCTGGCTTTGATATTTAAAAATACACACCCTCCTCCGCCACAGCTACCTCTCAGATATTTTAAGCAGAAAATTAATCTGGTTGTTTAGGGGTTGATGTAATATGTGTTAAAGCCAGTCCATATTAACTCTTCAAACTTTTGGGACCAATAATTCAATGGATTTACTCACTCTGAGGCTGCATGGAAGATGGAAGCAGGAAGTGTCAGTACAAGTAGAAACACGTAGGAAATAGCACCGAAGATGCAGAAAAAACAGCTCTGCATTCTGCTATCAGTGACAAACCAGGCTTGTGTGTTTCCATGGGCACAGCAGCTTGCATTCTCCAAAACACTAGTTATTTGGTCCTGTGTCTGAAACTTTCTTTAAAGTTTCTTTAAAGAGCCAATTTAAATTGGGGGGGGGAGGGAGGGAAGTATATATATATTTCTTTAATTGAGGGATGAAGATTTTTAAAGTATGAGGTCAATTTCCTGGGAGGCAAGTCACAACTCTGCAGTAGTGCAAAAAAGTGACACAAGCCCAGGGTAGATGGTCAGTACATCTACGTGCATGACCAGCAAGCCCATAAGTCACAGGTGTTACGATCCAGGGATTTAAAGTGAACCTGCTCACGGGGGAAGGAAAGTGTTTCACGATGGATACAGACTATGCCCAATGCTCATGAGACATACACACATCACTACTGGTGAGGTCCCACGCTCTGACAGTTTAGAAATCCAAATTTGACGCCAGGAAACATAAATCTGGACTGTGAACTTGAAGATAGACAGTACAAACAGCAGTTGAGCAGAACCTGCCAGCAACAATCTTTTGTTTTTCCTCTTTAAGTATACAGAAAATCTGCACATAGACAAGGCAGTTAATTGTCATAATAAAAATACCCCTGTCCACACAGCCAAGGTCTCCGTCAGATTCCACGGTGAGGATGTGGTGTGTCACATTCTATTCCACAGGCACATTTGCTTGTGAGTCTGCGGGGTTCTGATCGATTCTTTCTGGAAATGCTAGCTTCTCACAAACTGCCTCTTTGATCGGTAAATACTGTGATATTTCATTAGGTTCCGTGAAGAGGGAAGGCGGGACATTCTGGGAAACACGTAAATCACATCAGCATCCATTCATTACTGCGCTGACACTTAGAGATGTGAACATGAAGCAGGCCAGTTTTAAAACAAGTACAATGTAGCGCATAAGGAGCATTGACAGGCACTCCTGCTGCAACAGGGACCGGCTCCAGCTCGGTTACCGAGTGATCCCAGAGGTCGGAGGGATGTGGTCATTACAATGCTCCCATAAATGTCCTAAGAATTTAATACCTCTTTCTTTTTACTGAAATCTTTTTTATTTCTCTTTGAATTTAATACCTCTTAATCCAGTCCCCTTTCCCTGCTGCTACTGTACCAGGAAAGCGCCAGCCTTCATTTAGAGCCCAGTGTGTACAATAACTTTTCTAACCCACGTATACTCTGTGCCCAGACAGAAATAAGCACAAAGGGTGAAAAAGGAATGTCAAATTTGCGGGAAGGTATCACATTTTAAGCAACTTATTACAGAATTGTAAATTCCAAGGACGCCCTTTACAAGTCCCAGGGGAGCAAAAAACAGAGAGAAATTATGCCAAAACCAAGAAGTTATGGTGCAGAATTAGCACACTGGAGGGAAAAGAGGAGACTGGGTAGGAAGAAATCACAAGGTGGAAAGGAGAAAGAACATCTAGTTGGTGCCAACCAACCAGAGGTGTGACTCAGGGTAATTCCCACCTCTGGGTCTCAGCTTTTCCAGAATAAAATGTGGAAATTAGATTGGACAATGGCTACAGTACCTAACAACTCAAACGGTTCTTGTATTTGAGGTAAGCTCACAGTTACGTCCAGTAGGAGCCATCCTATCAAGCCCTTTAAGTGAATGAATGGATTCAGGGATGCAGATTTGGGTGGATGGGTGGGACATTGGTGGGGGGGATACATATTTAAAATGAAACATAAAAATTCCGCATCTAAAAACTGATATTAAAATATCATACCATTAAATTAGCAATTCTGCTCTCTCGTGATGTATATTCTCGTAACATGTAGGTCTTGTCGGCCTAGGTTTAAAAATAGAAAAGTTGCAACAAGTTTACTTACATTTATTTCATAATCCTTTCTATTGAACAGAATGGCTTATGCTTTAGTACAAGTTGTGAGAGTGCAAGAACTCTAGTGAGACTGTCTCATTCTCCAATGAGTTTACTGCTATTTAACTCTCACCAAGAATTCTGAATTAAGTCCAATCCCTGTAAGTCTCAGTAACATCAGATACAAACATGTAAGCAAATTTAATCATTACCATGTAAGAGAAACACAAGCAAAGGTATTACCTTGAAAGTAAATATGTATATAAGTGAGATATACAAGAGACTTTCATTATTCAAATTTGGAACTACAGCTTTTCCTTAAGCTAGAATGTTATCATTTACCTATGTAACTGCGGCTACTTTTATGTACCAGAAAAAAAATTTTTTAATTTTATTCTCTCCCATTTTATAAAATTCTTGCCAAAATTGTTTATTTAAAATCACTTTTTTTGCACTTCAGTTTTTCTTATTTAAGAGTTTTTTGCCTTGGCCAGGTAGCTCAGTTGGTCGGAGAGTTGTCCCGATACGCTAAGGTTGCAAGTTCAATCTCTAGTCAGGACACAAACAAGAAACAACCAATGAATGCATAAGTAAATGGAACAACAAATCGATGTTTCTCACTCTCTCTCCCCTTCCTCTCTCTCTCTAAAATAAATAAATTTTTATTAAAAGTTTTCTTAAGTTAGGTTTTAGAACAGCAGTTTATTATAATTTGTTTTTTGAAGTACTTTTCAATAAAAGAAAACCACAAGATTAAACTCCCAAGGTTTTAATTTTTTATATCAATAAAGACATATTAGTACTCATTGTTAAAAAAAAATCCAGCCCTGGCTGGTGTACTCAGTGTTAGAGCATCAGCCAGCACACTGAAGGGTTGTAGGTTTGATTCCCGGTCAAGGGCACATACCTGGGTTGCAGGTTCAATCCCCGGCCTCGATTGCNCTAAACAGCAAAAGGCCCAAATATGGCTCCATCCCCTTCTAAGAACCTCCCATTAATATGGTAGCTTCTTTAAAAGTCCAATTTAGTATTTCAGCCCACATTCATAAGGTGTGTCTATTTAAAAAAAAAAAAAAAAATCACCCGGCCAGGCGCGGCTCAGTGGTTGAGCGTCGACCTGGGATCCAGAAGATTGCGGTTCGATTCCCGGTCAGGGCACATGCTGGGGCTGTGGCTGGATCCCCAGTCGGGGGCGTGAAGGAGGCGGCCAATCAATGACTCTCTCATCATTGATGTTTCTGTCTCTCCCTCTCTCTGAAATCAATAAAGATATATTAAAAAAAAAAAATGGAAAAAATATCCTCCGGTGAGGATTAACAACAACAAAAAATCCAATAACAAAGTATATAAAGTGTAAATCATCAGCATCACAGCTCCTGTAGATAACTATCCTGAACATTTAGAAATCTCTACACAAAATCTTATATACTCTTACGCACATCTTTCCAAATCAGTTAAATATAACTTCCTGTCATTAATTTTAATGGCTATACATTTTTCTACTATGTGGATGTAAAGTAAGCAACCTCGTGCCCATTTAGTGGGCATCAAGAGTCCTCCTTGCCTGTTTGGGTTATAAACATTGCCATGGATGTCCCTATACATACAACTCTAGGCAACTGCCCGATTCATATTTGTGTATTACTGTATATTAGAATCTTTTCAGGGTAATTCCACAAAAACTCAATATTACTGAGTTACAACAAACATTTTTAAAACTTAGATTTCACCCTTTCTGAAGGAAAAAAATATAACCTGTTTTTAGTATTTTGTTACCACTTTTAAAAAGAAAAAGGTCCATCATAGCCACCATATTATTTCAAGAAAAAAAAAATCCCTAAGTGCAGGATTTGGGAAACCACCAATCCTGTCCCATACTATTGGGTTCAGATCTGTTCTGCCACCTATTAGCTGTACGATATGGGCGATATTAAAATCAGTTAGTCTTTCTTTACCTCAGTTGCGTCAGCTATGAGATAGAGATCTTATGATAGGTTGTTATGATAGGTAACCACTACTCCGACTGCCCTAACTGATGCCCGTGGTTTCTTCTCTGATTCATCATTCCACGTGGTCACAAATGTGAAGTTAAAAACTCATTCAGAAAGGACAGGCCACTATGAAGCTACTAGAAGAATTTTTATGACTCAATTTAAGCCTCCCCTTTCCTTTTTGAAAACACTTTATCATTATTGTTTATAAGCCTTGTTAACAGTTCCTTAAGATGGAGCACAGAGCTTTCAAACTTTAGAAGAACTTTCTAAATAGGGAATAAAAAATTTCAGGAGGCCATGAATTGGTGTTTCCAGTATCAGGACATATGTAAACAATACACACTAAAAACAAAGGTAATAGTTAGGACAGAGTTTTCTTANGGGGCTGTGGCTGGATCCCCAGTCGGGGGCGTGAAGGAGGCGGCCAATCAATGACTCTCTCATCATTGATGTTTCTGTCTCTCCCTCTCTCTGAAATCAATAAAGATATATTAAAAAAAAAAAATGGAAAAAATATCCTCCGGTGAGGATTAACAACAACAAAAAATCCAATAACAAAGTATATAAAGTGTAAATCATCAGCATCACAGCTCCTGTAGATAACTATCCTGAACATTTAGAAATCTCTACACAAAATCTTATATACTCTTACGCACATCTTTCCAAATCAGTTAAATATAACTTCCTGTCATTAATTTTAATGGCTATACATTTTTCTACTATGTGGATGTAAAGTAAGCAACCTCGTGCCCATTTAGTGGGCATCAAGAGTCCTCCTTGCCTGTTTGGGTTATAAACATTGCCATGGATGTCCCTATACATACAACTCTAGGCAACTGCCCGATTCATATTTGTGTATTACTGTATATTAGAATCTTTTCAGGGTAATTCCACAAAAACTCAATATTACTGAGTTACAACAAACATTTTTAAAACTTAGATTTCACCCTTTCTGAAGGAAAAAAATATAACCTGTTTTTAGTATTTTGTTACCACTTTTAAAAAGAAAAAGGTCCATCATAGCCACCATATTATTTCAAGAAAAAAAAAATCCCTAAGTGCAGGATTTGGGAAACCACCAATCCTGTCCCATACTATTGGGTTCAGATCTGTTCTGCCACCTATTAGCTGTACGATATGGGCGATATTAAAATCAGTTAGTCTTTCTTTACCTCAGTTGCGTCAGCTATGAGATAGAGATCTTATGATAGGTTGTTATGATAGGTAACCACTACTCCGACTGCCCTAACTGATGCCCGTGGTTTCTTCTCTGATTCATCATTCCACGTGGTCACAAATGTGAAGTTAAAAACTCATTCAGAAAGGACAGGCCACTATGAAGCTACTAGAAGAATTTTTATGACTCAATTTAAGCCTCCCCTTTCCTTTTTGAAAACACTTTATCATTATTGTTTATAAGCCTTGTTAACAGTTCCTTAAGATGGAGCACAGAGCTTTCAAACTTTAGAAGAACTTTCTAAATAGGGAATAAAAAATTTCAGGAGGCCATGAATTGGTGTTTCCAGTATCAGGACATATGTAAACAATACACACTAAAAACAAAGGTAATAGTTAGGACAGAGTTTTCTTAAACACAGATAAAGCACATGCACACAATTTTAAAAATGGCACCAGCCCCCCCAATAGGGAGTGTCTCGCAGAACAAACTTTCAGCTGCCTGAACTTTTGGAGAAGATGAAATGTTTCAATAACTGTGGTCCATAGTGAATGGGAAACATGTAGAATATAAAGCACTGTTTAATCTCAGATTCTCACACAGACAATGAAACAACACGAAGAAGCCCAATATCAATTAGTACATTCATCAAAGGAGGAGATACCTCGTGGTAAAGTCTCGTGTCATTCATTCTGATAAGCACTCCATCAATTCGCAAGAAAAACCGCAACAGCAGGAAAAAGCTGGAAGGCATTACTCTCTGAAAGAAAAAAAAGTACATCAATTAATATTTTAATGAAAATTAAATATTGTTACTGTGCTAAAAGAAAAGAAAAAATTTTAAAGCATGGGAGGAAGGCGAATCAGCCCATCTAGAAATCTCTAAACTAGAGGTTCTTTGTCCTAGCACCAACTGAGGCTCAAAACCTTGTGTATGTTATATTACTGAACATCCCAGTTTCAGTTTCCTACAATAAAAATGTGTTTTTTCTAGGTCAAAAGATATTTATGTTCAAAAGACAACACATACCTAAATACAGAGAAAACGATAATGTTCACTTGTAAAAAATGGTAGTACTTCTAGTGAATGGCAACACCAGTAATACCAAAATGAAAGAACAGCCTAGTTCTTTGTTGCTATTCATCTTTTATTCACTTCACATAAAATAAAGAAGAGAAACCTTAAGTGGAATGCTCTAGTTCAGAGCAACTGGTTAGGGTCTGTGTCACAATGCCAAAACCTGGTTTACCAGGTCATTATAACACGCTCCTAACATCTTTCACCTGTCGCACTCCTACAAACTTTTGTTTCCCAAGTGTAACCAGGGAAGCCAGTTAGTGGGGAGTGAAAAGGTGGGTTCTGGTAGCAAGGAGGGAGGGGTGTGGGGTCCTCAGGTCTTCAAAAGCAGTGTGTTTGATCATTTACTAAATAAATACTGCCTACTAAAGTGTCAAATTCTTACTAGGGAAGGTCTTGGATTTATATGGATGCAAAGATACAATGCCAATGTTCAAGAAGTTTATCAAAGAGGAAAACACACAGATCAAATGTGGTAGCTGCTATAACAGGTATGCACAAGTCCCCACAGCACTCAAAGAAAGCACCTGAGCCCGCCGACAAATGCCAGAGAAAGCAACGCCTGAGCCGACACGGAGGGAGAGCTGGGGATGGGAGTGCAGAGAGGAGGTGGCGAGTACAGAAATACTGAGGCATGAAACAGGAGGCTATACTCAGGGAACTGCCTGTACTCCCATATAAGCACAGGGCAACATTCACCAAGAATAACAAGATAACCCAGTGACAGCAGCTTAACTGCCTACACAGTCCCCAGCCACAGGCAAGCTCTTCCCTGCACTTGACCTTTCCACACCCTGTTCCCTGGCCTGGCTGCTCTCCTGGCCAGCACCTACCGTCCTCCAGAGCTCAATGTAAATGTCACTCATTTCCCACGCTGCATGTCATTGCAGACTTCTCAGTATTCTCACAGGACTCATTAAAAATGAACAGGTTTATAACTCTATCCATTTATGTGTTTACTTGCTTAAAACCTCTGTTTGACTATAGGCTCCATGATAGTGGGAATACCTGCTTCGTTCAACGCCATGTCCCTATTGCCTAGAAAAGGAGCCAGCACACAGCAGGTATCCGCCATCTCCGGGCTGAACAAAAGAGGCCAGAGGCTCTCTGCTAGAGAAAGGGCTGAGCCAGACTATACTGGGATCTGCTAACCAGCAACAGGCTGAAAGGAAGACTCACAGTAACACGGGGCAGGAGGAGGCACTAACTTTGGCAATGATACGTGACAACAAGTCAATCTGAAAACACATTACCCAACAGAATGCTAGTTAAAATGTATGGGAAAGACTGATTTCTTCCAATTCAAAACTAGTTATTAACAGTCACTCGACACGACACGGAAGCAAGCTAAAGCACCATTTCCGCACTCCATGGTGGGGAGACCAGGAATTAAGGCCCGAGTTCTAGTCCAATCCTACCACAATCTACATATAGTATAAGACAGTGGCGCTCCTAGGGGCGCCTGGAAACCTGTGCTGAGCAGCAATGATGAGCAGCCAGCACTAACACTCAGTAGTTCTGGACAGAGACAGCCACTGGGCCGTAGCGTAGAGGATGATCCACACAACAAAGCCCAACCCTGCATCCCACCAGACTTCCAGATATCTCACCTGGCATCCCTGTAGGTTAAAAAAACAACGGGGAATTATCTGACCTTACAATCTAATTCCATTTTACATATAAATACAAAATTTACTCAATTATCCATAAAGACAATGACTTTGTAAATCAAGGAGAGATTATACTGTTTTATTTGGAATTTTACTATTTCACCACTTTGAAAAATGCATCACCAATGGTAGTGCCAGACTGTGTCATATGAGTCACAGACTGTTAGCTGGCATCTTCAGCCTACATCTGTAACTGTCACAGCCACAGTGACTCGATATGCAGAAGCACCTGGCTGCTTCATTTTTCATTTAGTTTAGTCATATGATGCACTTACATAGTGAAATACATCTCATTTTACTCCAAATCAATTTTCTTTTACAATTAGAACATTATGTTGATTTACTGGAAAGCAGTACATTATCTATGAATTCCATTTCAAGGTAGTAAACAGGAGGGAGTAAAGTATTTGGTTAAAAAAAAATAGAGCGATGAGTCTCATGAGATGGAGAACCAGGAGCTTAGAGCAAGTCACTGAACCACCGGGACGTGAAGGACGGACCTGTCAGGCCCTCTCTCTGTAAAATCTGACAGTTCCCCAGGATTACATTTCTAACAAAGCCCCACTGCACAGCGCTGCGGAGTTCTCTGTGCCCTCCTCCATGAGAAGTCTCCTACCCCCTTAGCCTCCCACGCATTCTCGCCGACATCCCTACTTCCTAAGCCAGTCTCTGCTTCCATACAAGGAACTTCACTGGCCCATACTTACCACCGCTATGCCAGAAACTATGGCAATTATTTTATTTAGAGCAATATCTGCTACATGGTAGAAAGAAACCAACCCAGAAAGAACTCTATTTGAGTGAAATCATTCCAGCCCTAGCTGGTTTGGCTCAGCGGTTAGAGTGTCAGCCTGTGGACTGAGGGTCTCAGGTTCAATTTTAGCCAAGGGCTCGATCCCTGGCCTGGGGTCCGTGTTAGTGCAGGAGGCAACCAATCGGTGTGTCTCCCTCACATCGACGTTTCTCTCTCTCTCTCCCCCTTCCACTCTCTCTGAAAAGCAATGGGAAAAAAATATCGTTGGGTGAGGATTAAAAAAAAAGAAAAAGAAAATCATTCCAGACATTCTTAACTTACAAAGTTACACAAGGTGAGAAGAAAAAACATCTCATGATGATGACATTACTCTTCGGTTTGAGACTTACTATGTACTCTGGTACACACATATTACATTTATGCCCATACCCTCTCCAACACCTTCATCCACACAAACACACGTGCTCCCCACATGCTATCCACGTGCATACCTCAGAGACATACCCAACCCACTTGGATACAAGTGCACACCCAGATATGCACACTCATAACGAACATTCAACACCACCAGTTCCATAGGCTGGGAGACAAGTAGAAAGGTACATGACTGGATGAGTCAGAGTGAACAAATCTAAATGACAAAAGATAAACTGGGGGAGAGTTGTAGGTGAACAGGGAGTGGGGTGCTAAGAACACAGTGATCTAATGCTAGAATAAGAGATATATTGGCTCAAAGAAAACTGTGCTAATTAGTTACCCAAACTTAGATAAACTAGTCTTCTGGGGCCTCATCTATAAAATTCAGAGGCTAAATGATTCTCTAAAAATTCATTAAAATTCCAAAATCCTAGGATAATACAGAAAAACTTGATGTTAAAACAAATGTACTGCTGCTTTTGATTTACTGTTTTCATTCTTAATTATTGTTTAAGTCACAATACCCACTACCATTATGCTTCAAGAGCAAGGTTTAATGCTGGGACCTGTCTTTGACAGACCTTATGATAAGTGCTATAATGGAGGGGTTAAAAATAAAATACTTTTGGAGTATGGACAGGGATATTCAACTCTGTTGTGGAGGGCCTCACAGAGGAGGTGACATTTCAGTTGGCTCTTGAAGGATAAGGCATTTAATAAAAAATTGCACTTGAAGTTTTTCTGGGAGACCCAATTACAACCTAATAGTAAACAAATATGAGTAAACGACAATGGCCTTTTTATTATTATTTTTAAGCATGTTCCACCAACAGCACTGTTAATGGAAGTAGTCTGTCCTCCAGAAGAACTGATGGTTGCTATTTCCATTTCCACTTCCATGCTGGAAACTGAAGCATAGGTCCCTGGGGCACTGAGTCCTGCCACACAGTCTCTTCATTAAGTGACATCCACCTTGCTGTCTGCATAGCCTCCCCACATCATTTTTAATTCAAAATGTGAAAGTTAAGTCATAGTTTTCATTCAAATTAAATAATAAGCAAACAACGTAAAAAGTGGCCAGACAGATCTTTAAAAAGTGCTTTGCTAAAGTCTTAACAATAGACTAAGATTTCATGAATTTTATAACGAACATTAGTAAGATGTACTCTAGACCCAAGTGAAACTTTATATGACATCATGTTAAAATAGTTTGATTCAAAGTGAGTCTTGTATTTCTAACCAATGGTAGAAACAGAAGAAAGAAAGCAATTTTAAACAAAAATCATAATACTCACAATTTTCACACTTAGGCTTGAAACTCCATGATCATGAAGTTCATCCTCAAACAGGAGAACTTCCTCAAAAAACTTAATCTGTTCTCTGGCTTTCAATTTCTCTGTATCTATATGATCTGTTGTAGGCACGACCTGAAAGACAAAATGTAGGAGGGAGCACATAAAAACCTTCTTGAGGCTGTGGAGACAAAGGGAAGTAGCTACGCTACTCCACAGCCTCCAGGAGGCTCTTCCTAGTCAGCCACAATCAGCACCTTCATTACTGCACTGAGTTGAAACAAGTTCCAGAAATGTCCTCACTCCTACACGATGTGGCAGAGGGCCTCCCCAATTTATAGTTTTTCAATCAAGAGCAAGGAGAGAGAACCTCAACCTACTAAGCATTATAAGAGTCTCACGAACCTTTCTCCCCATTAGACTGCAAAGGAGGGATTTTTGTTTGTTCTCTGTATACCCAGGGCTCCTAGGATTACTGCCTGGCACACAGTAAGAGCTCAAGAATGAATGAATGAATGAATGAATGAATGAATGAATGAATGAATAGATGTTCTCCCCAAAACTGAGTTTTTGTCTTGGAAGCAGTACAGAAAAATAGTTAAAGCTTGAAATATAGGAGTGACAGCAACTGAAGACAAGAATTAAGTTCCTGCCATGAACTTCCAGCTTCCCAAGATTCTAACAATCTCTGCAGAGACAAGGAGCTCCTTAACATCACATATAATATGGGGTCTCCATTAACTACTTTTAATGTAAATAGTTACAGTGAAATCAATTTTGTTCTCAATAACAGAATGTGATATTTAGAGACTGCAGCCTAAACCAAATTTCCCTCATTCCAGTCACACTATAAGATTTCAAAGTACAGCCATGCTCCCAATATAAGACCTACCATTTCTACCTCCCTAGTGTCATTTACCATGAGGTTATCTCTCCTAAGTGGGGCTTACACAGATGCAATTTAACAGTCACATTGAGCTTCACAATCTATTGAGAGCTTTCCCACCAATTACTTCATATCAAAACTCTGCTGTCAGGTAGACATTTCTATTTACCCAATTCACTGATGAAACTAAGACTCAGATAAACAGGTTAAGTAACTTCCCTCAGGCCATTCCAGCTCACACATGGTACTGGCAGGACAAAACTCCTATTCGCCCACATATCTGTTCAACTGTCCAACTGGAAGCTGCTGCTAGCAGGTTCTGTCTGAAGCACCTAACATTACATCAGGACAGATACATATCTGAACAGTGACAACATTAAGGCAGTTAGTTCTCCATTGCGCCCAACCACACTTTTAATTAAAACTGCTCCACTATGGCCTTCCTTTATTTCCTGCTGATAATCAATAAGCAAAACCCTCCTCACATTAGGTTTGGGAGCCTACCACACAGAAATAAGCAGATGAAAATAGACGTAAAAGATAAGCCATTACTAGAATGTTCTAATGCAAAACTGTCCAAGACAATTGGTGACTCATAAAAGCAAAAAATAACAGTTACCTTTAACTTGAGGGATTCTCCAAGTAACGTGCCCTTATAATCTGTTGTAAAGGTCCAATCATACGGTTTAATAACCTCCTTGGAGTGCTCCCCATCCGTCCTCCAAAGCAAAATGAGAGGGGTCAGATGTAGCGATGCAGGTTGCAGATCATCTGTATTCGTTTGTCACACCAAACGACACTCCACAACTAATGTAAAATGCCCTGCTGATCCATATACTTGTCAGAATTCACTAAAACAAAATCTTTCTTTTTCCCTCACGTTTATTGTTATTTAACTTGTCATATGCTGATGTAGTCTTTCCAGTTAGTCTCTACACTGCCTGAGGATATAGTTTAAAGGCTCATATTTCTTTGCATCCTCCAAGGCACCTAGTGCATAACAGGCAGGAAGTAAATAATTGCTGATTTGAATATCAAAGAAAATACATTTTTCTTAATTTCAAAGGTCCTCAAATTTTCAATGCAAATCAGATATTTTTCTTGACAAATAGGAACATTCAAGTACATAGCGTACTCCTCTTCACCAAAGAACTAAAGCTCAAAAAAGGAAACCCCACAGAGCTCAGCTCAAATGTCCTACAACTTAAACAAGTACTCAAGAGGTGGGGCAACTAACTTCCATGTTATAGATGAGAAAGATTACTTTTAGAGTAATCCAACTACCAAGTTTAATAATACTACTAGCCCCTCATTCTAATAAGACACACACATCAGGGCTGAATATGTCTTCCCATTCCTTTCTTCTGTTTTACCCATGCGTGCGTTCCCAGGCTTACCTGCTTTCCTGCCACTCTTCCGCACAGGCCACTTTGAGCACTCCTTGGTAGTTGTTCACACACCTTAAAGCATCTGTAGCGTTGAACTCAATCCCAAAGCCAGAGCCATGCTGTATTCTTAAAACGTTGTCTCCAAACATCATTTCAGGGAGGGATGGCATATGCAATTCATCAGCTAACCTACATGCAACCAAAGGTCGGGTAGGATTACTTGATGTCACTATTGGCACTTTGGTTTCTTTTTCATCCCTACGTTACTGAATGAGTCAATTAACATGATATATTTGTACAGTCTATAAATACTTTCATCATCCATTCTCTCTATGTATATATTCTTTTTTCTAAACCTCACCTGAGGAGATATATATATACATATCTAGAAAGAGAGGGAAAGGGAGAGAGAGCGAGAGAAACATCAATGTGAGAGAGAAACATCGACTGGTTGCCTCCCATATTGCCCCATCTAGGGATGAAAACTGCAATATGTGCCCTGACTGGGAATCGAACCTGCAACCTTTTTGGTGTACAGGATGACTGCTCCAACCAACAGAGCCACCAGACCAGGGGCTATGTATGTCTTTGTGGCACTGTATTAGGTAATGGGCTAAAAGACATAATAAACAAGTAAATAAATACATAATATATTATCAGTTAGTTATAAGTGATATAAAAAATAAAACTAATGGGTGGGGACCTATTTTAAGTAGGATGATCAGAGACTGCTTCTGAGAGTAGAATCTGAGCCTCAAAACTACCTTGTGAGCTGAGAAAGGCTGAGTTTAGGTAACTAATAACAGATTACAGAGCTGGTAAGTGATAATACCAGGCCCCCTCCATTATGCCAGCTGCTTTATCAATACTTGCACCTCACTTGGAAGCCTCATTAGAGAATGAAGTTATATTCAACACACTAGAAAGCTAGGATCACAATTAATCACAGACATGTTTTGATTAGCCTGAACAATATTTGAAATAGTTGCCAACAATGATTGAGAGATAGTTGCCAACACAATTGAGAGATTTTTGAGTAATCTGGACTTCTGGTTTCTCTTTTTTGAAAGAAAAGGAAGACCTGGGCAGCACTGGGCCTGGCAATCTATATGGCACTGGTGGGTGGAGCTGAGTAGAGGTTGCTCCTTTAACTGGGGCCCAGGCAGTTCACCAGTCCCCTCCGCCCTTTTGAAACTTGAGTTTATAATCTGTTATAGTTTTTTAAATGGAAGCTACTTACTTCTGAATAGAGTAGCTGTATGTGTAAATCACCATGCCCATGAACCATCACCTCAGTCAAAACCAGGACTTCCAATTTAGGGATGTAAGCTCAGCTTCTCAATCAAAGGCAATTATCTATGGGCTGGCAGGAACCCCTAAATTTTAGCCTGAGAACTCTGCCCAAAAGACTCATGCTGAATTGAATCATGGCCAAGTGAGCGTACTCTGACCTCTCTTTTCGTAAGTCTGAATGACAGCCAAATGAAGCAAACACCAAGGGAGGTGGCAGGTGAGGTAGAGAGGAGGAAGAGAGTGAAAATGTTAACTAACAGCAAGGGAAACAGAAAGAGGAAAGCAGAGACAGAGAAATAACAGCAACAAGAGTAGAGACTTGGATACAGTTGTTCAGGTCACAAGAACTGCTGTTCATTTTCTGAGATAATTCCTGGGTTTAATTATTTCCTCACATACTATTAAATTCCCATTACTTAAGGCAACCTAGGTCTCTGTTCCTTGTAACCTGAAAGCAGAGGTTCCATGGAAGTGAATTTTCAAGTTACCTTATAGGCCAGTTTTATTGATTTTGGAAATTTTTCAAAATGTACTATAGACTTCTCTGTATTCTCAACCAGAAAATATAAAATAGTATTTAACCTTTTCTTGATTATCAGAGATCATCACATTTAACACTCTTGTAAGACAACATGCTCAAGTTGGATTGAGATAGTCCTATGAAATATTCCAGTTATATACATAAAAGAATCACTGTCACTAACTTACACTGCTTCAAATGTTCTAAATTCAAACTATCTTAAACACTGGCCAAACACAGAGAATCTTAACACCATTTCTAACAAATAGCTATTACCATTAATAAGGCAGGGAAGTCAGGAAGCCTCTATGGGATTTAGATGCCTTAATTCACTAAAGGAAGTGTCCTTAATCCAATATTTCCCCTAATCCATTTATTTAGCACCCTAGAGGTTTTAACACCCTGGGGTAAATGCATCACAGAAAATTTTGTCACAAGGCAGGACTAAGTATACTCTGGCAGATATACTTCAGAAATAACAAAGAGATTAAAGATCTGAAATTTGATTCCCTTTAAAACTCACAATGCATCCGGCACCTCTTAGAGAGTCTGTAAGTAACATACAAGTAAGCACAATTGGAAGCTTCATATATGGCACAATTATGCATATATGGTACAATACATAACAGAGAAAGTTAGATGGAGAGGAAAGCCCTGACAGTATCTCAATCTGCGGTGGGATTAAGAGTTTTTTTTCCCTTTCTTTTCTGCATTTCCCTTATTTTTCTTAGTGAATGTGCAAGATGTTACCTTAGTTAGTTAGTTAGTTAGTTAGTTAGTTAGTTAGTTAGTTAGTTAGTTTTAACTAGGCAGCTATACATTCTTTCACGACTCTCCTCTCTTCCCTGGTCACTTCCCCTCTGCCAGTGCTCCCTAGGGTTCCATCTCATGACCTTTCCTTCTCCTCGTCTGGAAGACTTTTAGATGATTTTTATTCACTCGTAAGGCTCCAGTTATCAATTATAAGGTGATGATTCCCAAACCTGAAACCACGAACAAGACTTTTTTTTTTAAATAAAGTTTAGAGAGAGAGGGAGAGAAACATCCTTGTGAAAGCGAAACATCCATCTGCTGTCTCCTGCACATCCCCTGCCCGGGATCAAGCCTGAAACCCAGGCATGTGCCCTGGCCAGGAATGGAACCTGAAGCCTTTTTTTGGTGCAGGGACCACACCCAACTACCTGAGCAACACCTACCAGGGCCATGTACAAGTCTTTTTTAAGCTCCAAGATAAATATATCCAAATGCCTACTACATCTCCACCTTATGACCCAACACAACGTACATTTCAACTAACTGAACTCACCCTCTATCTGACACCTGCCCCGCTCCCATTTCTCACATTGTTCGATGGCAATGATGTCCATTCCAGCCAGAAATCTTGCCATCAGTATAGAGTCCTCCTCTCCCCTTCTTCCTCTTATCAACTGGCCATCAAATCAAGGGACTTAATTTTCTAAAATCTCTTCCGTCCTCTCCTCCCTAATTGGTCTCCAATCCACCCTCCATATCACCTCCTGAGAAATCTTCCAGAGCGGCGATTTTCAATCTCTTTCATCTCATGGCACATAAACTAATTACTAAAATTCTGCAGCACACCAAAAAATACATTTTTTGCCAATGTGGCAATAAAATATAGGCATAATTTTGATTCAGTCACACCCACTGCACGGCTATTGTTGTGTTGGTTGTTGTCATTTTTTTGTTTGACAATCTAAGGGAAAAGAGGGCAGTGCCCCTGACTAAACAGGCATGTATTAATGCATGTTTTAAAAATTCTTTCTGCACTGGTTGAAAATCACTGCTTCGGAAATGTACAACTGGTAATGTTGCTCCTTTGTATAAAATTACACTCGGTGGTGGTCTGACAAAATTCAACTCCTTAGCCTGTGGCATAAGAGCTCTCTCAGTGACATCCCTCACTCCTTACTGCCCATCTGGTGCCCAGCTCCAACCACAAAAGCGGTTCTTCCAACAAACCAGAGCCCTGCATCTCGCTGACCTCCCGCTTCTTCAAGATTCAGCAGCGGGCAGCACCGCGCACCCCAGCTGCCACCCTCCCTGCACGCCCCCTCGGGCCTCACACGCCAGCCCCCGCCCCTACCCATCGCCAGCTTTGTCAAGGTTCAGTTCAGGCCTCCCGCCTCCTGGACGCCTCGTCCGCCCAAAGGACCGCGCACAGCCCGCGGACACGTCTCCCCGAAACGTTATTCACACGGCATAACTGTCTCTCTCGCAAGACCGTGACTTTCTCAAGGCAAAGGCTGTCTGTCACCTGCCGTGTCTCAAGAGCCTGGCACAGCCCCTGACGGGCTAAAAACCAAGCAAACGTTATCATCCCCGTCATTAACGCCAGGAAAACAGATCGGAGCCCCCCAGGGAGGAACCGTGCCAAGGCGGCGCGGGCTCGGGCGGGTAGACCCGGGGCAGGTAGAAAGCCTCCGAAACTGTCATGCGCTGCTCCAAACGGGCCGAGTGACAGTCCCGCGGGCAGCGCCTGGCGAAGCCCAACCGAAGGACGGGAGGGGGATCCGAAGATTCACCCGGGCTGTCACTCCCGGACCTGTCCGGGACCCGCCCGCGCCCCAGCGAAGGGTGGGGGCTGCGCGGAGCCACCCGGCCTCCCCCGGCCCAGCTCCCGGCCCGCGCCCCGAAGCCTCACTTCTCCACGTCCGCCGACTTCATGATGTGGGTCTTGGTCGCCGTCAGCTTCCAGGGCCCGAAGGAGAAGTCCCGGTGGCTGCTCTGGAAGCCGTGGATCATCATGGCCGAGGCGGGGCCCGCGGGAGCCGCAGGGAGCAG